TCTAAAACAGTGTCAATAGCTTCCTTTGTAGTAACGCCATGGAATTTAGATTAACAGTTTCTTACCAAGCATCATTATTTATCCTAACTGCTTAAGCTAATATCACGTGACGCTAAACGCTCTTTAATTATGAGAATTACATAAAATTTAATAAATTTTTGCTGAAAAGTTGGCAATGAATAATCAATAATAACCATCCACCCGTATGATTCTTTTGAAAACTTGATCTAGAAACTGCTAACCTAGTTTGCTTGGCCTAACCAATATTTATGTATCTGTACGTCATTTCACCCTATAGTTTTGCTGCTCTAACTTAGCCGTCTTTAATCCGAATGACAAAAAACTAAAAACCGTCCACTTTTACTCGTAGGTGAAGCTGTAGTAAAAATGTTAGGCTGATAGCTCCCGTGACTTTTTGCGTAGGCGTGCGCAAACATTTTCGTCAAATTTGAGCAGTTGTTGTTAAATAACTTTGCACAGATGACTTATATTTACACAAAATGAGACTTCTAATTGAAGGTTGAAAATATCTATCAGTGACCAAATTCGAAAAAAATCCATAAAAGTTAAGTATACTTTTCTATCAAATAAAGTTTCCGAACTTTTGGCGGGAAGAAAAAAATAGGAAGGAACTCAATCAAAATTGGGGATGTTATATCTCAGGTATTTCTTAATGAATTCCCTTGAAATTTGGTATGTGAAGTAGGAGTCAAGTAGAGCAAATTCACAGACAATCTGTGATAGTTTGGATTACCACAGTCCGAGATAAAGAAGGTGGAAAATCGCTAAACTATCATTCCTGTTAATAATACACAGTGTGTCCTGCAGCAGGTTGTTTTGGCCCCACGACGCACTACCGTGTGTTTTGATCTCAGCTATAAATACTAACATGTCCTGATAAGGCTACTAATATCAGAGTTTATATTTATTTTACACTATATTCCTACTAACATGTCGTTAGGAAATAAATGTTGCGTTTTGGAACCTTTTCATTACCCCCCCGCCCCCCCAAAAAAAAACAACGTTCATCACGTATAATAGTTAAATGAACCGCCTAAACATCACATTAGTGTAGCCTATATAATGTGTAAATTTTAGTATATTTTAATCCCTTATATTGATAGCACACGACGAGACACAGATTAGGCATGTAATGCTGTTTGAATACAAGAAGGGAAACAACGCCTCTGTATCCACAAAGAATATCAAAGAAGTTTATGGAAATGTTTTGAACGTTCTTAAGTGTCAACGATGGTTCAGCAAATTTCGTTTCAGGTGACTTTAGCCTTAAAAACTGTGATGGCAGGGGCCGACATGTTGGAATTGATATTGATGCTCTGAAGAAGCTTGTTGAGTCTAACCCACTCGTTAAATGGCCCTGAAATTGCATGTTTCTCATGAAACAATACGTAAACATCTTAGGAATATGGGAAAACTCCATATAGAAGGTGATGGGGTGCCTCACGAACTCTCCGATGATCATCGTTTCCAACATGTAAACGTTGCTTCATCTCTTCTGGCGAGTAATGCGCGGGAACCATTTTTGGGCAGAATTGTTACCGGTGATCAAAAATGGATTGTCTATGCGAATATTCAACTCCAAAAACAATGGCTCAGTCCTAGACAAAAACCACTTCCGACCCCAAAACCTGGACTCCATCCATAGAAAGTGATGCTTTGCATTTGGTGGGACATAAAAGAAGTAATTCATTTCGAACTCCTCAATCCAAAGCGAACTGTCAATGCAGAGATCTATAGTCAGCAACTGGAATCAAGCCTTTCATCAGAAACGCCCTTCTCTCGTCAATTGGAAAGGGGTCCTTCTTCTCCACAACAATGCACGACCACGTGTGGCACGTTTGAAGCAACACAAGATTATGGAGTTGGGTTGGGAAGTTCTCCCCAACCCACCATATTCTGCAG